TAAAAGTACTTATTGTTTTGTCCTTAATCAAACAAGCCAGTTTTGCCATTTATGCAAATACTGCCAGCTTCACAGTCCTCCATTGTGGGTATTTCTGTGTATTTCCATCTTTGTGCAAATAGTAGCCTCGCTGCAGTTACCATATACAGTATAAAACCAATTGTCCTTGAGTTCTTTCTAATTTGGCTTCCATAAGTCCTAATAAAAAAAATTCTGGTTTCATCTGAATGTTAATTTTTAAAATTTGTTGCATCATTGTATGCATTTGTGTCCAGTACTTTTTTGCTTTTTCACATGTCCACCATGCATGATAAAATGTCTCTTCATGCTTTTCACATTTAGTTTATTTTAATTACTGTACAGGTAGTTCTCATTTAACAATGGTAATTGGGACTGGAATTTCTGTCGCTAAGTGGCAGTCATAAAGTGCAATCACATAGCAACGGAAATTCCAGCACTTCTGGTTGTCACTGTTATGTGAATCACCACAGGTCATTAAGTGAGGACGTCATGTGGTTGCTATTTGTGACCTCCTACCGGCTTCCCAATTGACTTTGCTTGTAGGAAGCCAGCAAAGAAGGTCACAAATGGTGATCACGTAACCGCAGGATGCTGCAATGTTGTAATTATGAGCCAAGTGCCAAGTGCCAAGTACCCTGATCTCAATCATGTGACCACAGGGACACTGCGACTGCTGTTAGTACGAAAACCAGTCATATGTACCCCTTGTTTAGCACCATCGCAAGTTTGAATGATTGGTGAACAAGTGGTTGTTAAGTGAGGATACTTAACTGAGTGTAATATATGTCATTTCTGTATTATTTTATCTTTGATATATTATTCTATGGTTTGCTTCTTCTACTTCACAAATAAATAAATAAATAAACCAACAAGCTGGATGTATAGATCAGCCCTCAAGCAGCTATAAAGAGTGCAATTTGGAAAAGTTTTTAGTTTCAACAGGCATATTCCGGAGGTTCAGGGCAGCAGTCAAGAAGCATTGCTTCCAGGCCCCCACCCTTTCATGTACTGGATTATATGTTTTATGTTGCAAGCACTTCAAGAAAAATGCAGGCTTGAAGGTGCCTAGAACATAATAAGCAGACAGGCGGGTGGGTGGGAAGGCAAGCGGAAAGGCAATTGGAGTAGAACCTAAAGTAAGCCCAGGAATGAAGCCAAGAGGAAAAGCAAGCAGAGAAGCATTTGCTGGCTCTGGGAGTGTAGCCCAGCACAAATGCTCTCTTTGGTTGTTTTTTAGGAAGCAGCAGAAGGAGAAACAGCTCAGCTGGAGAAACACATGGAAAGCTCTAAAACCTATGGCTCAAACCCAAGGAAAAAGCAAGGTGAATTGCCAGATAGGATATAAATCTGAGGCACCTTCACTGTTGCTGGCTTTTTCTCCCCCTCTCCACCATCCCCAGGCCACCCTTTACTGTGTCGTGTTTAGCTGCTAGAGAGGCAAAAGTAAGCCCAGAAGTGCCCCTCTTCCCTTCCCCCTGGCTACACATTCTGTCCTTCCCCCGCTCTCTAGGGCCTGGTCCCACCCGTCCCAAAGAAGCAGCCAAAGGGAGGATGTTTTGCTTTGCAAGCATCTGGCTCCACGGCTCTCTGCTGATGTCATTACACAATCTCCCAGCTGATTGGCTGACTGCCAGAGCCTCCATCTGTATCCGAGAGCTGCACAGCAACCACAGATCTTTATTCCAGGATTGCCTCTCCTATTTGTTCTGTTTTTCTATGTATAAAAAGCAAGTGCAAGGATAGAGATTCAGTCACGTGAAAAAAGAATGAAAATTGGGTTCCATCTCCAGCATTAAATGAGTCCCGCATTTTTGTGCTTGCTTACAGTTTTTGTAGTTTCACATCATGTACTTGGTTACAGATGCCTCCATTTTTCATGGATCTTTTAGTGACAGCGTCTCCCTTTGGGCAGGGGGGAATATCATGAGGACAGTGGCCCCTAGCTGCAAAAAACCCAGTTTTTTGTGCATTGCCTTGATGCCAAAAAGGGAGAAACAAAGTTGTCACATGGACTCAAAGATGAACATGAGCTGAGCAAACAGCTAACAATCTAAGACTGGTGACTGTAAGAACAGAGTTGGGAACATGCCTGGGTAAATTGTTAGCCCCATCAGGAGGTGACACAGAGGTGGCAAGAGGAAGGGGGTGAGTAGATCCTGGACTTAAGATTAAGCATTTTAAGGCTTATCTGGAACAGGATGGCTCAATTTTAAATGACATAATTAAATCATTGGAATTTACAAGCAGAACAGAGAACATCTGATATTCTTATAATGCTTGAATAATCTGTTCATTATACCATACACAAAATTGTGCTCTGCAACTTAAAGTGAGCTTTGCATCTCCTCAGAAGTAAGTCTCACTTTATGTTCATTCCATAATTCCTCTGGTTCTCTATCAGTGACGTTCAGGACTTCAAAGTGATTCCTGATGTTCTCCTTGAAAATGGTGGGTACTGTATATGTTCAAGACCATATCATGGAAACTGACTGGCTTTCTTCTTCTTCTTTAGCTTAACGTGGAGTTTGCACATGAGTTTGTGATCTGTTCCACAGTCAGCATCTGGCCATGTCTTTGATGCTATAATTGAGCCTCCTTTTAGCAAAAATATATTCAGTTTGATTTCAATATACTCCATCTGGTGATGTCTGTGTATAGGCATCATTATGGTTGTCTTTAGACAGTGTTAGGTATGAAAAAATCATTGGAATGGCAGAAATTGATAAGTCGGTCTCCTGCTTCATTCCGGTTTTCTAAGTGATACAGTCCAACTACATTTTCCTCTTTCATGTTTCCAACTTTGGCATTCTAGTCTCCAATCACAAGCAACACATCTTGCTTACACGTTCTGTTGATTTCAAATTGAACTTGATCATAGAAATTATCAACCTCCTCTTCTTCTGCATTGGTTGGGGCATAAACTTAAATGATTGTCATATTAAAGGGTTGTCCACAAAGTATAATTGATATTATTCAGTCACTGATTGCCAAGTACTGTTCTTGCTATACCCTTCCTAACTATAAAAGCAACACAGTTTCTTTGTTTTTCATGTCCTGAGCAATATATGGTGTGATCTTCTGACTGTCTGATCTCAGTCTATCTCAGTTTGCTGATGCCTAAGATGCCAATTTGTAGTTGTTTCATTTCATCTTTCACTGTATTGAGCTTTCCTGTGTTCATGCTTCTTACATTCCATGTTCCTACTGTCATTCTGTTTTTGCAGCTTCAGATTTTCTTTTTCTGCATAGCAATTTCAGCAACTAGATGTCCCAAAGGCTTTAATCTAGCCATGTCATAAACACCATTAGTACTCTGAAAGATCCTCAACACTTTCTCAGTAGCATGCTGAGTACCATCTGAACTGAGGGGCCCATCATCCGGCACTATATTGTCAATCATTTTATATTTTCTATCCATGTGGTTTTCTTGGTAAAGATACAGGAATGGTTTACTATTGCCTTCTCCCACACAGTATGAATGGATGCCTTTGCCATTGTCACTAAAGTGATCTGCTGCTTCCAGCATCTTCCTATATTGCTTCTGCCCAAAGTATGTGCTTGCTTGCTTTAGTTGGGCAGCTGGGATGACTTTCATGCCTTGGGTGATCCTGTTGGGAATATATACTCTTGGCATACTCTCCCAATGTTCTTGGCTCATCTCTCCCAGGAACACTCCCCCCACCCCCACCCCCCGCCATGATGAGGTGGCACAGCAGGACTTGGGGAGATGATATAAATTAAATGCATGAATAAATAAAATAAATGTTCTGCTTCCAGAACTGGCCAGTGGTGTTTATTTATTTGTTTATATCTCATCTTTCCTCCAGGAACTCAAGGCTGCACTCATGGCTCCCTCCTCCTGTTTTCCCCCAAGACAACTGTTTCAGAGATTTAGAAGAAAAATATGGAAGCCTCATTAGATATACATTTATTTGAGAGAGTGTGTGTATTTACATACCTTCACTGCCCAATATTTTTCTTCAAATTGAAAATTATTCTGAGCCCACTATGTGTGGGTATATGCATCTGCACACATACAACCTTGTCTTTCACATTAAAAATGTAAAAATACGGAAAAGATAGGAAAATATCTGAAGACAAATATAAAGAAAAAGTACTCACATAGCTGAGCCTTTTCAGTGAACAGTATCACCTGACAGAGAGAAAAGAAACCATTTCAAATCCCCAACACAAAATGAAACGGAGCAAACCATGTTCACATTTCCTCTTTAAAATGGTAGTGGGAGGCCCAGATCCTCACACCTGGAAAGATCTAGGCATAATCAACCACTAATTTGGATTTCTTTGGGCTAGGACCCAGATTATGGAGTATATTGTGACTAGAGTTGTTTAATTATTGATTTTCCCAGATCTTTTAATGCTATTGCTTCAATACTGTGTCTTGCATCTATTATGATTTAATTTTATTTTAAAGCTATTTTAAGTCTATCTTGCAAAGTGCCTAGAGCCCAGAATTGGCAGCATATACATTTTCTAAAGAAACAAATAATTGGAATACCAGGATGGAAAGAGTAATTCTCTTGTCCCAAAAGATGTTGGTGTCTAAGATGGAAACTCTCAGTAGTGGCCCTTGTGGGAGTAAAATATTATGATTGAAATTGTTAATAGTTTGTTTGATCCACTGCCTGAGCATGGCTACTTCATCCTGCCTTAAGACCAGCTCTAGTTTATTTGTACATTTTTTTCAGGAAAGGGTTATGTTGTTTGGGAGACCATTTTCCTGGAAAAATGAATGCTTTTTCATTGCCCTAAGAGCAGGGTGAACCAGGACATGCTCTGTTCCTGTCCGTTCTTCATCCAGTGGGAATAGGAGGAGCTGAGGCCTCTGCAGTTACAATAAACTCTGGAATGAGATCATGGTGGGAGAGATCTCCCCCTTTCTCCTCATTCCAATTGGATGATGATATTGAAGCTTTCTAACTTTTCTTAATTAAATTTTGAAGACAAGCCAAATAAGAACATTTGCTAGGGCTGGGAGCGGCTAGACACTCTGGCCAAAATAGGGGATTAGTTGAAGGGGAAAGAAACACCGTCTGCAGTCAAAAGAAGCAGAGTGCATGGACAGCAGTGAGTGGAGGGTTGTGTCCCTAAAAAGAGGGTGATTTTTGAAGGAGATGATGCAGATGCAATCAACATAATGAGAATCAGAAAATAAATGAGTGGATAGGAGTGAAGGATGGAAAGGAATGTAGTGTTATGTTCAACTTAAATTATTTGATTTTCAGATAGATCAGTTGAGCAGCTGAGTGGGGAGAACAAGGAGCCTGCAACTGTTGCTGTACATCAGTCAGTGAAAGAGAAGGATGTGTCAGACATATGCAAGCAACTCCCATTTATTTTCTTTCTTTCTCATTTTGCAGAGATGGTGGCCTGTGGAGTTCAGACGCTGCTGTGCCTCCTAGCTCTTCTTGTCCTGCCATCTGGTGAGTTTGTCCCATGAAATCCACAGCAAAGCTTTCCTTATTTTTCAGGAATGTGTTTTTATATATATACTGTTCTGCAATAAAAAGAGGTTGTTTTAGAAGATGCCACAAAAGGAAAAAAGAAACTGAGAAGATTGAGGTAACAGGAACCTTTGTCCTGAATGCAACACTGGCAAAGTACAAGCCTTCTTCTGTTCCAGCTTAAATTTGGGTTAGTCAGTGGTATATCTTTTTAAAAATTGGGCTACTTCCAGATGTAGGATTTGTAGAATTACTAAACTACAGCTATGGTGCAGCTATTTTTCCTTTTCTCTTTAATGGAGTTTTATGCTAAGAAAAATGATGGACTGAAAGATTGGAAAATCCAGGAAGGTACCATGTGGGCTATGATGTCATCTCCCCACCCATCCTGCACAAAATTCTGTGAAGGAGGCAGAGTGTTTGCACAACCTGAGCCTTATCTGCAAGAGGCCCAGGCTTCCTTAGATAAACTTGTGAGCTTGTATGGTGTATGTGTTCATATAACATACTAAACCAAAACCAGATAAGCCACGTTACGCTTCAGTGTATTGGTCAAATTAGTCATTGTGACCAGGGTTTAGGGCTCAGCCTTAGTATGATATGCTAGCATGGTATGAATCAGTCACCAGCTACCAGCTATTTTGTTAAATATTTAAATGGAACAAACAGCAGCTATTTGGATTTCAAGAAGAAAGCCCTCTGTGTTATTTGCATCTTACAAGAGATACACATTAACTTCTCACATCAGATTTTGTAGGGAGAAGGAATCTAGAGGACACTAGGTTGGGGTCCCGCATGGCTGTGAACTTGTATCTGTAAATAAGAATTGTGGCTGAGTTCACAAGTTATGTTTTGTCATAATGTGCATTGTTTGATTAGGCTTAGTGTTTTGTGTGAGCCAAGATATTGTGGTTTGTAAAGCATGCTTAATGCATTAACGAACATGTTATCCCAATGGTAGGTTATTCAGGAACTCATGGTAAATAAACCATGGTTTAATATAATGTATACATCCTGGTTGTGTGCCTCCATTGCTTCACTCTTGCTGCGGAGCCTCAGAAATTAATCTGATTAAGTTCATGGATTAACCTTAAATTAATTGTATATAAGCTTTCAGTATAATATTTATTTTAAGAAAACTTTTCCTAAGGAATCATTGGGACCTGTTCTGTGGGAGGGCTGGGAATTTCTAACAGAAAATTCTTAAAGTTATCACCAGTAACAATTCCCATGATTCATTCAAGGACACAGGACAGTTAAACTGATATAAAACAATAGATAGCTGTGGTTTTGGTTTGCCAATTCCTACTATCTCTCATACTGTGCAGATTTTCCCCCCTATCCAACTCTGCTTTATAATTTCACCCAACACAAACACACACACACACCAACAAGCGTGTCTTTTTTGAGGAGTAAGGGTTTCCAGGACATCTTTGCTGGGCCCATTTCTTTTGGAGCTGAGACCCAAGTTCCTTGGTGCTTTTAATATATGTTTATTTTTAAAAGTGTAGATGCTAAGCATCCAAGCCAGAAAAAAAGCACCCTGGTAGATAGCATTAGTTCAAAGAAATTACGGCCCCCAGAAGCTACAAGCCTGCTGCTGCCTGCCAAATATGAAAACTTCAAATTGCCCCCCACTTCTACTTCTATTCAGTGTTAATTTAGCTAGGCAGGAGAATATGGGCCAAACCATCTAAGACAGAATTGTTGCACAGTATATTCTCCTTTTCTTCAAAATTCAAAGCAGATGTGGGAGCTGTTTATGTCTGGAAACCATTACTGAGATGGGGAGAAGAGAGTTAGCTATGGCATTTTGCTTTCCAGTGGTGCTAATTTTGATTAGAGAAGTTTTCTCTCACAAGTATATGGCCATCAAACATTGACTAACAAGGAAAAACAAGCCCAGAGTCGCTCTGTAGTGAGATGGGTGGTGACACATTTGAAATATAAATACTGTAAATGATGTCTTTTGCCATCACTGTATCTTGGGGCCATGATCCTTGACCACTTTCCTTCTTTCCCAAGCAGCAAAGAGTAGAAAGAACTAACACTTCTTCCCCCTCTGCCTTTCCCCTCATAGAATTAGCAAACTCAACCTCTTGTGCACAGATTCTTTAATGTAAAGAAAAAATAAGTTATAAGATCCAGTCCAGTCATTTGTGTCAAATCTAGCTTTAGCTATGATATTTTCTAGGTATCTTGGAATAGATGCTGCTCCTCACAGCTCCCCAGTCTGAATCCTACAGTTTACCATGAAAGCCAAGCTATACAAAGTGAAACCCAAGAACGGGATTGGCATAACTATAACAATACCTCTTTAGCAGCTTGGAAACAGAAGTTCCATCATCCAGCTAGCAGGGGAAGGAAGCCATGACTTTTTTGTAGCCATTATTTTATGTTCATGTATACAAATGAACAGAAAATGAACTTTTCTTCTTTCTGTTTAGATTGGCTTTTGCTGGGAGTCGTTGCTCAAACGGCAGCAGGTACATTTTGACTGATTCTGCACTAATGCTAAGCTAATGTGTAACTGCATGGAGATTCTGACCTGATTTCATGGATAGTATTAACCTCTTTGGTATAATGTAACTACTTTGGTGTAGGGGTTAAGGCACCAGGCTAGAAATCGGTAGACTGGGAGCTCTAGTTCTGCTTGAGGCACAAAGCCAGCTGGGTGACCTTGGGCCAGTCACTCCCTCTCAGCCCTGGGAAGAAGAAGGCAAGGGCAAACCACTTCTGAAAAACCTTGCCAAGAAAACTGCAGGGACTAGTCCAGGCAGTCACCAGGAGTCAAGACTGACTCAAAGGCACCAAAAACAAAACAAAACAAAATAAAGAAAAGAGTTCTTTAAAAAAAAATGGTTCAAATCCTTACATAGTCACCAAGTCCTTCATTTATATATCTGAAGAGTTATGGTTTTGGTCTCAACGTAAATCTTTAGATTTGTTCAGTGCTGTGAGTTGGAAATAGGGTCAAGTACTCTATGTTCTCATGTACTATTTGCCCTGTTTCTTACTCTCCCTAAAACATTTCATACAGTTGGAAGCCTGAACTGAAGTTGGCCAAACTATCTAAAGATGAAGGCTTTTCTCTGCCAAAGTAGTTTTCGCCTGAAAATTGCTACAAATTTTCTGATCTGAATCAGGCTTAGCTGGAGGCCCATCTAATTTTTTCTCCCCAGGTTTCATAGTCCTTAAATCCACTTTGTCCCCTTGTAACTGCACTATGTAGCTTAATGATTCAAATGATTAAAAGCTGTGATCTCTTTTTTTTCTAAATTATTATTCACAAACCTTGGTTGAGGTGACTGATGATGATGATGATGATGGCAATGATAATGATGATGATGATTTCCTGCCCCCAGGCATATTTGCAATACAAATATTTATACAACTTATAGCTTCCTCCAAAGAATCTTGGCAAATGTGGTTTGGTGAAGATGCTGAGCAACTCCACATCCAATTAAAGAAAAGATAACTATGGAACAATGAATCTGAAAGGATCTCAATTCTTCTCTGGCTCCACTCCTTTTTTTTTTTTTTCCCATTCCTTCCTTTCATGCTGTTTTTGCTTATTCTACTTTTCTCAACCAGAACAGGAGTCATTTGCAGTACGAAACCATGAATTTTCTGGGTGTGTTTCAAAATAAAAAAAGTAGAGCTTTCCTAAGGGCAGCAAAATGAGAATGGGAATAGGAATTCATCAGTGCATTTGACCTCTAAATCTGCTAACACAGGAGTTAGATGTGCATTGCTGTCACTGTTGCATTGCTGCACACTATGCAACAGATGTCTACAAGCCCATTGCCTCTTGTTTCAGGGCCTCTAGAATTACCCTCAAATCCAACCAACGACCTAGGTAAGTTCTTCCAACTTTTTCTACATCTGTGTCAGTGTTGACTCACACACCATGTTTACCAGATATATGGCTTTTAGAAGTGGGCAGCTTAATGAAGTCTGGGTATTTCATGCCAGCCTCTTCCCCTATACCTGCCAGATTTCCAAGTGGATCCCTGCTTTGAAGACCTGGCTTTGAAAGAATCATCAGCTCAACTTACAAATGTCAGGTGCTGGTGAGGCTGTGTAGTACATCAAAAGAGGGATTAGCACAACTCTGTGCAACCACTTTCCAGGTCTGTCACCTGTTCACTAGGCTACTTTTAAAAACAGTCTTACCTAAACCCAGGTTAAAAATAGCTTGACAGTTTGTGAAGAGAAGTTACTCAGTGTGGTGCTCCAACTGCACAGCGCAACTGCCCACTTCCTAGATGCCTGTCATTTGTTAGTTGCACTACTTTTAAATATGGACTCAGCATCATTTTAAAAGACTCTCCTTTCTGGGGCTTCCTGTTACAACAGATGTGCAGGAGGGTTGAATATTGTGCTGGGTTAAGCAAGAGCATTGCAATCCCACTCCACCCCGGTCTGCCTGTCAGCTGTTAGTTGTCCTAATAACAGGTGACAGGCTCAGAGAGAGGCCTTGTGTGGTGTAGCTGGTGGCCACATCCACCCACCTGCTTTGCTGGGCTGTTCTGCTGTCCATACTGCTTAACATGCAACTTTCTAAGGACTGTGACTGATGGTTCCCTCAGCTGAAATTCCAGCTCTGACCAATGGAGAACACTCTGGTTACTCCATGCACTGCATTTTTTCCCCTTCCTATTGTACCATTATCTAGCTGAACTTTTAAACAAGTTATTATTATTCCTTGAAATTATTGACCACAGAAACAACTTGGGGGGCTGGGTATCTCTTGGCTGCCATCTAGTGGCCATCCAGATTTGTGCAGCCAATGCAGGAGCTGTAAAGAATCCTAAAAACATCAAGTCAGAGGAGAAAATGAGGAGTCAGGAGGAGGCTTCCCTGGGAGCAGCAGCCACTGGCAATAGTGGCTTTCCCTGCCAGGCTGGCTATAGGAGCACAACAGCTGAATACTTTGAATTCTACACTTGTTAAGCCTGGCACACACTGGTCAATTTCAAAATCAACAGGCCGACCAGTCAACTGACCCATTTAAAAAAGAATAAAGAAGTGCCTGCTCTCCTTTGCAGCCAAAAGAGGACTGAAAATAGGGTGAAGAGGTCAGGGATCAGACTGAAGGGGTTGTCGCATAGGAATTCAGCAGAACCAAGTGGAGCCACAAGACTGTCAGCACCAAACTGACTCTCTAATGCACATCAATGTATCCTACATTGCCTGCACACAGCCCTTTGAGGTAGGATATTAGGACAAACATCACTTCCAGACACTTCCTTAAGCTGTCCCTGCACCATTTCAGCTGTGGGAAGACTGCAGATATATGTGGATGTGTGCTCAGGAAATGATTAGCAGGCCATTCCTGTGCCCAAGCAAGGAGATCTCCCAGAAAGATAGGCAGAAGCGGAAGCTCCCTCCCACTTCACCCGACTGCCACCCCATAGCATCTGCCACTTTTAGTCAGTCAGAACCTGAAACGAATTTTGACAAATGGTTAGAACTGCTGGCCTGGCCATCTGTCAACTCTCCCCCAGCCCCTCTTAAGGAGAATAAGTGGAGGATGCTTTCCTGCGGCCTGCTGGAGAAGAGGAACAAAGCCAGGCAAATCCAACCATTCACTTCCGCAAGAGTCCCAGCTCCCTGCCACCTCCATTTGGTAACATGACTGTATATTGGCACTTAAACTATAGATTTGTATTTTGAACAAGAAACCTTATTTCCACATTTGAAATTTGAATTTTTAGAATGTGTTATCATCCCTACAGTATACAAATGTAGTAAACGTTGAATATTCTGCGAAATCTCATAAAATAGTATTGATGTAAAATGCTATTAACTTCAAAATACTGTCAGATCAGTTCTATTGAAGTCAAGTGAACCACATGAATGCATTCATAACGTCACCAGGAGTGGAGTTCATTTTGAGGGTGACTTTTTGTAGAGCAAGTAAATCAAAACATATGAAATAACCCTGTCAAATATGTATGCTAAATATTTATTGACTATTCAGGTTATAGCTGAATAATAAGCATCACAATGTTATTTATCAATCAGTTCAAACAATGTTCAATGAATATTTGATATCACAAACTGCTGAGGACATTTTTCAACTGGTTTCATGGGAAGTACAGTTAAATCTAGAGGGCACCAAGCTGGGCTATATATTATATATTATATTTTAATTCTATAATTTTCCCTTTTTTTGTTCCAGATGATAGTGGTCCAACAACACCGCCTAGTAAGTTTAGTTTTACCACTCTCTTCCTTGGTCTCCCCTTCAAAGTCATACGGTTTCCCTTCTATAGCTGAGTTTTTGCAACCGAGGGCTTGCCTTTGATGTTCTGAGCCTGCGTCTTCTGGTTCCCAGGCATTGGAAGACTCAATGAATTTAAAACGCTCCGTTTGGGAGTTTAGAGGACACGGATATTCATTCGTTTGTTCGTTCATTCGTTCATTCATTCATTCATTCATTCATTCATTCATTCATTCAATTTTTATGGCCATCCATCTCAACAAGTGACTCTGGGCAGTTTCTTGAACAAACTCTATGAACCCCTTGTGAGAAGCCAAACATTTATTCTGTAATTAAAAAGGATGAATTTAGCTGATCTACCTCTTTTAAGGGAAATAGATCATATACTAGCTATGCTTATAATATTATTGTTACATAAAATTTTAATTGTTTACAATCAGCATGTTTTCTAAATAAACAGAATACAAATTTATTCACCTCCCCCACCTTTGTCTAAGAATGGTTAAGAAAGGCAACAACAACCCTGTAGGTTCACGTTTATTGTTTTGGGAAGACAGGAGTGAGATTTTATTTTATCTCTCCACAAAATCAGTTTGGAACAAATTATGCCACTTCTGTGTAAATAAACCATTACCATTTCCTCTTCCTAACCCCTCAAAAGCAATTTAAATATGATACACAATTGTCTTCTCTTCTGCCAAACTTGCAGTGCTGAAAATTATTATTATTAGATGTTTATCCCACCTTTTTTATATCTATATAACTCAAGGTGACGAACATACTTAATACTCCTTCCTCCTCCTATTTTCCTATTTGGCCGCACTGCACTCCGCCCCCTCTGCCGCCCTGCGCTCTGCAGCCCTAGCTGACCTTCACTGTGTTCTCCCTCCTGCTGGCCCTTTGTGATTTATTAACCGGTTTTCCCATGATTTAATCCCAGTGTTTGGAGGTATATATGTGCTTCAATGTTATGTACATTCTCTGTTATCCAAAAATATAATATCCTTGCATTCTAAATTGGCTGCAGAATAATATTTTGAATATTTGAATATTTTGTTCATTTTAAGTAGCAGGTTACAATTTCAGTGTGCAAATGGAAATCATACTTGTGTAGATTGGTTCCAGTTTCTTTAAGTGTGATGGATATTGTTAAACGATAGCTAATATTTCATCTGATTGCAATGTTATCTGGCAGCCACTTTTGAGGCACTTTTATTCAGGTGATTTATTCAGAGCACTTACTGGAACTGTGGTTTGCTCCCAGAATGCCATGAAGAGCAGTTTCCTTGCACACGTCTGTACTCTGTTCACAAGCCTGTGAAGCAATGCATCAGTTATTTGTGTGTCACCAGGTAAGAGGGGAACCTAAGAATATTATGTTTAGGAATAAATGACATACTGTTTTAGATTAGGTTATGTAAATTAGGTTTGATGCTATTTCTGCTGCATAGTAATTTTGGCAAATTAGTGGATCTGAATATTTTTAATTTCTGGGAACAAAATAGTGGGGTAATAGGAAAGAGCTAATGGGATGTTGTTCATAGGCAAAATCAAGAAGCCATTAATGATACAAAAACATGTGAAGAATTAGCAGTGGAATGTTTTCTCCCAAACCTATACCATTTTTAAAAGCACTTAGGTAAAGCTGGCTATCTATTTCCATACAGACATTTTCTGCAGACATAAGTCCTAAAGATTTGCTCTCCCCCACACCCCAAAGTCCAAACTGTTCATATTTCTGTGCAATTAACATGGGCTCAGATGATTAACTGCATCTCCATATATAAATACCTCCATCCAAAATTCTGAATATAAAGTTGATTGCTGGCAAATGGTTTTAAATTTAAAAATTGCCGAACAGATTCATTGAACTGAGCCTACCAACCTAGGTGAACTATTATAACACCTTATGGAAAACAGGGATGTTGAGGCAAAAGGATTTGTGATGGCCAAGAACGGGGCCACGCATGAGGGTCTAACTGTGGCTGAGGTCAGGCATTCAACAGGTAGAGAACAGGCCTGAGCATGCAGTCCTGCCCTCTGCTCGCCTCAGTCTTCGCATGTTCACCTGGAGGCCTGAAGCAAAACTGTACTTTCCTTTGCTCAAATGCCAGTACAGCTCCCTGAATGATCCAAGAGCCAAATACAGCAGGGTCCCAGATGGGGTGGAGAGCTCCTGTGGAAAGTCTGGAAGCTGGGGAGAGAAAGGGATGGGGTTGTGTGAACAGCCTTGTTCTCTACCAGAGGGAGCTCACTGTATGCTTAGCTCAATGTATCACTCTTAGCCACAATACATTTAGCATAGATAGCTGAACTCTAGCGACTCTCCTTTTTAAGGAAAGTTATTTGTGGAAAGGGAGATCTGGAACATGAACTGGAGGAGAAAATGCATTAAACCATTTTTTCAGCTGTTGCCTTTCCACTTCAGACTGATCCCCTGCAAGTCCCTTAAGCTTCCCCTCTCCCCATTTTAAATATGGATGTGCCCAAAATGGGAAACTTGTTTTATTGCAGATTCTGAACAAAAGCTCCAGTCAGAAATTCTGCTGGAATGATTGTGTTCTGCAGAACAAAGCTCAAAGCAGCTCAAGGGTTTTGTTGCGACCCTGAAATGAAACTCTCAAAACATACACACTTTGTTTCAAACTCAGAACCCTCGAAATGCTGCCCCTCAAAAGAGCAGTGTATTTGGTTCTAATCTTAAAACATCTGGAACATAGAAATTTTATTTTGCACACTTTTAATTTTGAATATAAAGGCCTTTCCTCACCTAAGCATGGCACTTACATATTCTGGCAGCCTCAGTCTTACGATGTTGCCTTCATCTCCTTTCCAGGTCATACTAGAGCCTTACATTGTCCTTGGCTTTTTGCCATTGATTGAAGTAGTTATTTTCCTATTTTCTTATTCTGAAATTGTTTTTGCAGTGGAGAGAATTTGACATGCTTAAGTGGTTATTCTGTTGATGGGTTAAGGGTTGGGACTGGCCTGGCTCCCACTGACCACTTGAGACTGGTGAGGGCACACTCCCCCCACCCCCCACCCCCGGTTCCCATGCACTGTCCTCCAAGCCCACCCTTGTTATGGCAGTAGGCTTTTCCCCCTCTACATACACGGTCTCTGAACTGATCAGCTTAGAGACCTGGCTTTGAAAAAGGATCAGCCTGGCTAATAGGTGGCTAGTGATGGAGACTGCATGGTGAAATAGGAGAAAGAAAATGGGCTCTCTGCCACTTCACTGAACAACCACCCCCCTCAAATGCCAGCAGGCTATTGTTCAGGATCCAGCTGAATGGGGCTTGTTTCTTGAAGAGAGCTAACCCATGTTCAAAAGGAGCCTCACTAAAGCTGACCAGCGGAAGCGCAAGGGAGGAGGGATGCAGTAAAACAATGAAAATCTCTCTCTCCACCACCCCACCATGCAGCCACCCCTGATCCAGTGCTGCAATTAATGGGTGGTTTTCCCAAGAATCAGCGACATTGAGGAGGACAGGCTGCAAACCAGTGGAGTTTTCCAGCTGCAGACCACTACAGAGACAATTTGCATTTGCAGTGCAGAATGCACAGTCTATGTTCATTTTGTTTTTTAACAGCTTTCATCAGCTAGAAAGCACTTTTACTCTGCTGTGCAGAAGAGCCCTGAATCTGCTAAGCTTGGATACTCATAGGAGGAAAGCAGCTGGTATAAGCTGATGTGATGAAGCAAAAGTATGATCATCCCTTCCTCTTTTCATACTATTTTCCTACTTCAAAGCATACACGTTAGCTGGTTTTCCTGAAAAAGTGGAGCACTCTGGGTCAGTTATGCATATTTGTGTGTAAGGTATAATCAGATCCTTAGGTTAGCAATTATGTGTCCATAGTGGTTTCTATTTAAAGGCTGGATTCTCATGGATTTTTTGCTTCTATTGCCTGTCCTTTTTGTCCTCCCCACTGCTGGTGGCAGTGTCCGCCGGGCATACATGATAAACAAGGAGATCTGCTCTCGTATTGTTTGCAAGGAAGATGAAGCCATGCACGGTAAGTGACAATGACAAAAAAGGATATTTTTATCAAATATTCCCATATCAGAAAAACGTAAAGAATGAAATGATTGTATTTCTTTTAGAGGAGAAAAAGTCATTCATATCAGAGCATGGTTCCAGTAACAAATTGGAGAAGATGCAGAAATGATAAACACTTGGAATGTGCACAAGGCAGGGTGTGGGTGGGGGGGAAAATAACACACTGTCTCTAAAACAAGTACCCAGATATTCTTCAATTGTGTTTCAGTGTTCCCAAGTGCATTTGAAATATACCACAGTCCTAAACAGATATAAAAATAAATAAAATGGGGCACTGCTCAGCAAAGAAACACAGTAGCTCTGCTTGAAGATTTTGTCTGGTTAACTGAAAACTAAACACACTTTCCAGATTAATGAACAGATAAAAATGCAGCACTTTTTTCAAACTGCTCTGAATGTTGTGATATTTCTCAATGGTTAGTAAGAAAAAATTAAGCGTGTTCAAAACAGATGTAGAAAAAAATGTTTTAAAAAAATGATTTATATTTGTTTTCCCCTAAAACCTGGCAGACTATTATGGAAATGAAGTATCACATACTTTGGAACAAGTGCCTATGAAACTGATAGATTAAAAACAGTGTGATCGGTCCATCCCTAAAACATATGTAGCAATAATTAAGAAACTCAGCTGTGCACCAGGAAATGTTCAATTCAGATTTTGTCTCACCTATAACTTTCTATGAAGCCTCAGCATATATGGAAGCAAGTTTATCTTTATTCAGGAGCTATAATGTGAAGAGGAAAATAGAAATTTTAATGCTACTTGCACCCCCTTCTTACTTAAAAGTAAAATGATAACAGTGTTAGGAGGAAAAGATTTAGAGTAGAGAGGTGAAATTAACACTTCTTCCACCCAAAGTTTCCTCACTCCAATTTCCTCACTAAACTCTTTTCTTCAGGACATTCCAAAGGCATGTAGTACTGTATGTTCTCAACCTCTAAGCATCCCAAGGACCCCACTCTCCAATCACATTTAGTCACAAGTGATTTTAATGCTATGGATCCATTAAATGGTAGTTGCAAATGAAGCTGCACATGTAAATTATGTGAAATGATTAGCCCTTTCTTTCTCTGGCCTGTTTCTAGAGGAGATTTGCCGCCAACTGGCTGGCCTGCCACCACGCCGTCTTCGCCGCTCTGGTAAACCTCAAGGACCACCCTGTCGACGAGCAAAGGGCCAATCTCAGAACATGCTTGATTCTCAGTGATCAGGAAGCTGTAGGAATGAGAAGAACAAAGAGGAACTGAAATCATACTGACAACCCATTCTAAATTTGCCTTTTTCCACTCAATTCCTGCCTCAAGAGGTGTTTCACTGGTGCAGGGACCTTCCCTGTCAACATGTGACTGATGTCATCTTTGAGATGTAGTACTAAGACTCTCATATGCACCTGCTTCTGGGTTTTGACCTAGGGCTGCTTATGTAAGTCCTATCCAAAACCTGCCTTAAAATGCACAATCAAAATGCCTGCTTTCTCAGTGTTTTTCCACCCAGTTTAGAGCCAGCTTGCCTACAGATAATTAATATAATTTGTATGGATATAGATACACTTACAGTCTATTCTTCATAGGGTTTGATTGTTTCGCTGCAAAATCAGAGGACAATAACCATATATTGAACTCAGTACCTTTATATGTCTTATGCACATAGATGAAGCTGCCTGAAGAGAAGGAGACCCTGAAATCATGGAATCATAGAAAGCAAGGGACTATACAAACCATCTAGTCCCTCCTTGCTGAGTGCAGGTATCCAGTACTACAGCATCCCTGATGTCCCAGCCTCTGTTTGAACTCTTCCATTAAGAAGAGTCCACTACTTCCTGAGGCCATGTGTTCTACTTACTGTTAGGATGTCTCTCCTGGCATCCAATCAAAAGCTACTTCCTTTTCATTTATCCCACTGCTTTTTGTTCTGCCTTCTGGAACAACTTTGAACAATTCTGCTCCAGGTCCTACATGAAGTAACCCTTCAGGTATTTGAAGACAGCTATCATGTCTATTTATCTCCAGGCGCAACATACCCAGTGCTTTCAACTATTTCTTGTAAGGTTGTACTTCCAGGCCCCTAATCACCTGATTTCTCTCCCCTGGACATGCCCTGTTTGTCAGTGTGACTGTCTTTCCTAAGACGTAATGCTCAGAACAGGATGCAACATTTTCTATAAAATCTGACCAGCACTGAAAAGAGAGGAATGGACTTCTTTGCCCCACACAGAATTCAATTTAAAGCAAGGTTTTCAGATTTGCGACGTGTCTTCCAAAAATATTTTTCCAGTTCTTGACCTCACAAGAACCCATCTCTTGCCAGGAGTCTCCCAATTTCAGAAGTGTGTCCCATGATCCAAATCATTCCTAGTTGCACTATCTGCATAGCCAGTTGTTCACATCTAGTATTCTCCTCTTGGGCCCTATCCTTCAACAGAAAGATGTGAAGAGAACAACATCTGTGTCCCCAGCTACTTCCCTCTCTTGCCCAGTACTTCACAGTCCCTTGAAGCATCTTCCAGAATGTAAAGAGCCCTGGGAGTCTTTCCATCCCATCTAAATGTTTGCCCCAGGAAGGGCACTTTTCTCCTCTTGATAGGCTATTCAGCTGACAGATTGCTTCTTAAGGCCCTCTCAGTAGGGACTCTCTGATCACTACTAACTGCTATTTCCTCCTCTTTTGGCCAGAGGCAGAAGTCCTTCCCTGTGCCCTTTGCACTCCCTGAGACTTGTGGCAACTGATTTTTGTCCAGGCATCCAGAAATATCATCAACAGGATGCCATAGAATCTATACTGAACTTTCAGAGAGTAAAAGCTCTTCTTGACAGACTTAGTGCTTGGTCTCACATTCCTCTATCTGTCCAACCTTCTACTTGCCTTTCTTCTATTTCCTGGGAGGCTTTTTGGTACTATTGACCTTGGTCCTATGTTCATTCCAAGAATTCCTTATGGTTCTTCATAAGTTGGGGATTGGACAGTTTGAATTCTAATTCCTTCTTCTCTCCCAGGAGGGCAAACTGCCTGCAGTTGTATCATGTGTAATTCTTGTCATTTTTCTGGGAGGAAAACAAACATGGCATAGTCTCTTCAAGTCACAAGAGTAGTTTTTTCTGTCTCCACTTTTCTCTGATGAATAAACAAAAAAGTGCCTCCCCAACTACCTCTTCTACCAAACTCCTGTTTGCTCCTCATGTTTACTCACTCAGAAAATGAGTACAGTTTGTTCTCTAGGAAATGGCTTCATTATATGTCTCCTGAAGCTGCCTCAATTATGTCAGTAAGAAGCAATGCTCACACTTGGCAATCAGCTTCAATCACCAGCACAATGGCAGTCAGCAACACTCAGTCAGCAATCTCTCCCTCTCCCGCTCTTTGTCTCTTCTGCCTGTCCTCTTCTGTATTCTGTATTCTACTTCACTTTTTCTCTGCCAAATTCTTGTTTGCTCTCCATTTCCTCCAACAGCTCATCACATGTCCTGTAAACTTGCCATAGGCTTTGTGTGAGTAGAACATTCTGCTTGTTTCAGGAATGAGGTGTAGATGGGGGTAAAATATACGGAGGATTTGCTCAACTAAATATTTATACTGCTTTTGCAGTGAGAAGGAGGGACACTACTGTGTGAAACAAGTTTACTTATTAGGGCTGTCCTATGTCTATTTCATAAGTCTTGTTCGGGACAGCTGCTCCACAGCAAGGAAGCTGAGAATATACCACTGCAGGCTGAGAATCTAAATTTATGTTAGGTTTAGACTGGTAGGACCCAGTGGAACAGCAGAAATAGGAATAAATACTAGTGTTCTAAAAGGCAACTGGATGGTCTATCACTGCTTCAGATTCTATATGTGCCTTTCTATGGATGCATCTAGGCATAACTTTGTTCTAAGTGTGATGGCATCTTACATCTGAAATATCATCTTCCCTGATTTTGCCCACTGTTTCTTTGGTCCATCCTAAATGCATATTTGGGGGCTGGTTTTCTATTCTCCCTTTCTCCCTCCAATCAGTTAATGGCTATCACACAACATTTTGGTTCTTAATACTGTGTCAAAATTGTTGCTACCCACTCAACAAACATTAGTTAAACTTTAAATCAAAGTGAAATTGCCACTGGAGAAAGGAAGGAGACAAAAACAAAAGCATAGAAGATTTGGTAGAAAAATATAGGAGAGTTATAAGTGAAAAATGCTATAGTCCAGATCCTCCAAGATAGAAGGAGGGTACGATAAAAGCTTTATCTAGAAGCACGCTGGCAATAGGCTCTCATAACTGATACGGTATGGCTGGAAATGGACAATTATTTTCAAAGAATTGAACAGGATATCCTAGAGCCTTTCTTACTCTTTTCTTTCTTTATCATTGTCTTTGGGCAATGTGGTGGCTGAGGGACACAAAGAGGAGTTACCACAACCTGAGTTGTGTGGATTCAATATAGAAGCGCTGAGGCTGCCTTATCTTGAAGTGTTTGCATTGGTCCATCCTACCCAGTCTTGTCTACTCTGATTGGTAGCAGCTGTCCAGGATCTCAGGAAATTCTTCCTCAGCCCTCCTGCCTTCCTCCACTTTTTTAAAATTGAATTTGCTGAAGTGTGAATTGGAACCTTCTTTCTTCAAAGTATGTAATCTATCACTGGTTCCTCTCTTCATCTGCAAGTATTTGAACAAGCAATTGTTTAAGGACACAAATGTCTTTAAGTACATAGGAAAACTGGACATTTATTTCTATGAAAATTTAGAATTCCTCGGTGAAGGCCTTCATATGACATACAGGTAGTCCCCAGTTTAAGAACGTAGAGTTCCGTTCCAAGGTCTGTCCTTAAGTTGAATTTAGTATTGTGTAATGAACTCGAACCATTGTGTATTTAACTCATATCATTGTGTATTTAACTTGAATTTTGCTAATGAGATCCGTTCTTAACTATGGGTGGTCCGTAAACTGGGCATTCTTAACCTGGAGTCTATCTGTATATGAAATTCTCACTTTTCAAATATTCCCAGTAGTAATGGTTTCCTTTACAACTGCATCATGAACACCTGTTAAGGAATCGTTACTGTTTCTATTACTGATGAACAAGGTTCTGGCTGTTTGTCTTAACGTGCCTTCTGCCTTTTAGTCCTATTCAGCAATGCTGCCATTGGATCCTAGAGGTGCATATCATTAATTTACCAGTGCTGCCACCCCCGGAATGGCAGAATGGCACTTTGCTTTGTACTTGTCATTATGTAACACAAACCTGCAAAAGATGAGGCACTGGCGGAGCCTTCTGTGTCCGAAACCTCTTGCTTTCAGATGGAATCTAAATGTTTGTTTATATCAACTCACTAATAAAAAGTAACAGATGAACACCCACCACAATATTCTCTTGCACTGATGAAACTGGAGTATGCAAGAGTACTACTGGTACTTCTATGGCATTTGTACAGAAAAGCTTCCCAGTGGATTATGCCACAGGGCCACATCTCCACTTCTGTAGTAGGTGCAAGCTGAGCTTAAATGGCCAAAAGTGGTTGCTTCTGACTATAAACTGCTCTCAGCAGCCCCAGTAGTGAACTATATAAAATAATTGTAGTGTGTGCCCTTTTGCAAGAGCAGCAGATCTTGAAAGAAAGTGTTAGAAGGAAGGCAGATATGTCGTCCATTCTTCATGGAGAGCAGCAAGAACAAATCACTGTACAAAAGCAATATTTTTAAAAAAGTAATATGGAATAATTCTGACATGGAGTAGCTACTATGGGTTGCTGTTTTTTATTGAGCCTTAGGTCTTAAGCCTCATTTAACAACCCTTTGATTATTCTCCATAACTGCAAACTGGCTGTATTGTGTTTGTGAGTACAAGTAGTTAGTAATGCCTGGTGCATAAGTACTTTAGAAGATGACTTCACACATCTTTATACATCACATGATCCCCCTCTGCACTTCACAACTCTTGACTAAATGGATGAATAATTTGTATTGTGTTTTTTTTTTAATCAGGAAATAGGAAAACTCTTTTTGTGACAGTCTGCTCACATACACAAGCAATTCTTAGATACTGTATCTAGTAAATGATGAATTTGTATATGTGAATTTGGCTATATGTTAGAAACTGCCTTTAGCCTTTGTAGTAACTCAATAAGGAGAAATGAACAGACCACTTTTTTCTCATGACTTTAGGAAAAACAATTGCCTGTTACCTTTGTGCATGATATCTAGTTACTATTAAAGCTAGAGATGCAGATCTAATTAGAAAAAAGACAACAATACTGTCATTATAGAGAATAAATACCTACTTTTTTAAAAAAGAGATTACTTTCCTATGAGAAGCTGGTGCACCTATGTTGTTAGAGGTACATATATAATAATTTTAAATCTGTTCTGAAAGTGAAATATAGAATCAGATGTAAACACCTGCAAGTATATTGTATAGCCATTAGACATCTTACTTTGAAAGAACACAAGGTATTTCTTATGCAGCTTCACTGTTCTACTTTATACAGTTAGGATGATGAATTTTAGTGGAATTTGTAGAAAAGAGCAACTATATAAATAAACTTGTATTTTGCAGAAAGCTTACACAAATATATTAAAAGATAATTTGAATTCCGATTGCTTTTTCTCCAGTGTATGATCTGGTCTTTAGTCTTATTTCATCAGAGTTCACTAAATAACTCAGTCTTCTTCACAGAAGGAGCAGAATTCAATGAGTAGGCCAGGCAGCCTAGTAGCCCTCCAGAATGGCACTACTTAAAGCAAACTGCTAAAGAAAAGGGGCATGTCTTTCATTATGAAATCAGGTGAAAAGAGGTGGTTTGGGCCTTAATTACTAAATGTGACAATTTTCTGATTACAGCCCTTTGCCTCTAGAAAATAGAGATGTGCGTTAGATTTGGACAAAGCCAGCAATGAAGCAGAGAATTGGAGAGATTCTGCGGCTCTCTGTGAAAGTGACTGCCTCTGAACCAGCTCTCCGTGTTTCCAAAGTTGATGGTAATGGTGTGGTTTGTTGAGCTACAGAAAGGCAGACAGTGGCTGCTTTCACATATCACATGAAGCCAAAATGTGGTTTGGTGGGTTTTGTTATCACATCGTTTGTAAAATTAGCTAGTGTATGTGCAAAAAAAAGAAAAAGAAAAAAAAGAAGAAGAAGTAGTATAAGAAAGAAAACAAACATCAAGCTGCTTTGAATTGCCTTTATACAAGTTTCCCATTTGATAGTAAAATATGTGCTGGTATTCTTGAGCTGTTACTTTAAACTTTTTAAAATGAATCTTAGTAATCAGAGCTCAGTGAGACTTGTTCTTGGGATTAACTGCTTCCAGGCTATGCTAATACCTGACAACATGAGACACTTCAGGTGATCTACCATAAGAAACAAAGAACAACACTTGAAACAAACCCCTTGCTTCGTATTTATTATTCTAGGGTCAGAGGGTAGAATGATGGTCCATGCTGAATGCAATCTATTGGACATCAGAATGATTTTTTAAATGTTTAAAATCAGACTTTTCTTCCAATCTACCTGTCCAAATAACCATAGAAACCCAGCAAAGAGCAGCATGCAATATGATACACTTAACATAACTCATAAGCAGCAGAAAAATAAAATAAAATAAAATAAAAGAATTTGTTGGCTGTTGGTCTCTCTTCCAGTTGCATGAGCAAAGTGCACACCGCTGAATTTGCAACCTACCAGCGACATTCATATACTGTAAATAAAAGTCACCAAATTTAGCATACAGCCTGAAAATTTAGCATCAATAAAAGTATGCATACATGACATCAGGCTCAGGGAACAAGCTGCTAGGTAAATTCCTGTTGCAACCAATGGATCAACATTAGGTTGATCTGAAAAAGTGGAGCCTGCACCTATGGGAAAATGCTAGGGGAAAAAAAAACATGCATACCGTGTATACCTGCAGAGGCAGAGTATCTCTGTGTGGTGGAACTCATTGCCTTTTATTGTTACCTTGTACGTTTTGAAATCACAACAGATGATCAGCAACACTTACCTAATGCATATGGAGCAGAACTTTTGCAGTTGTTTATTCATTATCTCCTTGCAAAATTATCTACCCACCCAATGGCCTACAGACCTTGGATTGTATCACTGGAATTTAGGTTAATGGCCACTACATCTCAGAGACACAACATTCCATCTTTTAATGGCCCCAAATATACAAAATAGGGGCCCAAATCTCACCACTCAGTAATGTTACTGTATCATGAGGCATACACCCCTCCTTCATGTTATCCCCAGCCAAAAAACGTTGTCTAGCCTTGATATGATGGATAATTGGGCCTAGGGTGACAAAGGCAGCTTCGAGTCTTGTTCTGCTTTAGCAGGGCTAGAGAAATGGGGGCCTTCCAGGTATTACTGGATCTTAAATCCCCTCAGATTCAAGAAGCTGACATAATCAAGAGGAGCTTCATTCCAAAAGTGCTAGGAAGGCCTCAGGTTCAACACATCTGCTTTTGATATTATAATTTGTTGCCAAAAGGAAAGCTTTTTGTTGGCAGACTCAGAGATCTTTGTATGCTAGGATGTCAAGAAGATAACTGCTTCAACCATGCAAAGCAATTTACAATGCCATCTACTTCATGAGTGCTCCTTTGTGGAAGTAGAAGCCTGTTATCTAAGGCTGCATGAAATAGCTTAAAACCCAAAGCTATGTTTGACTGTAAAATATTACACAGAAACATATCTTTTCTGTGGTGCTTACAAGCATTCAGTCTGGCATTACAGATGCCAGGTTCCCATTTTTTAAGAACAAGCACCAGAAAGGACTGCTGCTAGAGTTTGAGTTTGAATCAGACTCTGAGATTGTGCTGCAGATATGAAATTAATACTTTTCCTGGTGCTATTGTCTTCTCTTCAAGGGGTTTGCTATTTTGATATGAGAGGAATTCTGTGGAGAGTCTGAGTCCCTGATAGTCTCATCCTTGCCAGTAAGGTCAAAACAAGAGGGTTGAAGCTAAGAATAATCTATATTGGGAGAAATGGGACTCTGCAGAAGTAAGGGAAGATGACCCAGGTTGGAGAAGGAACTCCAAAATCAAAACTAGAAGAAAGTAATGGAAAGCCACTTCTGTATGGACATGGCTCAACATATAGATGACTGGGTACCAGATGAGGAGATCCTCCAGGTTGAAAGCAACTCTTTAGTTATTGTGGAAAATTTTTAAATTTCCGTGAATGGATCTAGAGGTGACAACAGGCCCGAACAAAGCCACAAAAGAGTCTGTTCACTGATGGTGCCAGTGCTGAAATAGCTTTCCTCATTTTGCACAGATATATTCAAAAGAATATGAGATGTAAAATGCATGGGAGAAGAG